AATTAAGCTCCTAACTCATCAACCATTGATCCGAGAAATCTTAAAGAAGTCATTTTATCTTCTAATGGCTGCTCCAAAGGACCTCTTCGAGCCATTCTTTTCTTCCAATAGGTATTTTTAGTGGCAGCCACCATTCTATGAAATACTCTCCTTCCAGAGGTACAGATAACCCCTACTTACTGACATTTGGCAAGGTAGCAAAAGCAATGTTGTTCCAACAGATATTTGGTCCTTAGATTAAGTTAGCTTATTGATTGCCTATGAGATCTTTGATAGTTTATTGATTACTTTAATGAATTACAGTGTTTATTTCTTGCTTTTGACTTTGTTGTAACCTGCCCAGAATCGTTTTGCATTTGGGCAGGCTATAAATACTGTTAAATAAATAAATAAATAAAATAAACATTTGTATACTGCACTGAGATAAGAGAGTCTGTCACAAATGCTTTAAACAAAATAAGTACAGTATGATGTTATTTTAAACAAATAACCATATGTTTTCATGATTTATTGGTGAATACACTTCCTAGTTGAATTAAATTATGGTAGAAATAAAATAGTTCCTCTACTATGGAGCATCTGATTCCTATATGAGTCAAATGGCCAGGAAGTAATGCCAATGAATATAAAACTGTTATCTCTGGGAAAATCTTGAAGGTACCTTGGGAGTGGCTAACCACTAAAATCCAGCATGGTTAGTATGAAATAGAGAGATTTCTAGACCAAAACAATGTAGTGATTTGTTAGTTATAACCCAGTTTATCAGGAGAAAAATCTACAGAATATTTAGAATATGGTATCTTAAAATATTACTTAGAATCTTTTTCTGTGTATTTATGTAGTGCCATTTTTGTTACACAAGCAGCCTTGTTGAGCATTTATGAATAGGTCATTCTAATTAGATGCAATTATCAACAGTTTGAAATGTATGTGTGCTACAGAAATCAACCATGAAAACAAGAAAGGCAGAGTTCTGTCCTCATGTCTGAATAGAAATCAATGTTGTAAATACATGAGGTTAAGACTTGTATATAATGTTTGTGCAATACAGTGTGCTCATTTTGTACATATGCATCATATCCATGAACAAAGATGATCTATTACTAGTCTTGGCATAATTTGATCTTTACAGTCATACAAGTAATTGTATTAGAATGGTTATTACTGGATTGGAATTTGCCTTAAAGACTGTTCATGCATTAGAACCAATAAAAAATATAGGAATATACCATAGGACATACATTCTAAGATAAGATTCCTGCATTTGTTTTTTACAGCTTTTAAAATACTATATATTCAACTGTGATCTCTCAAGTTACTTGGAAACCAGGTATTTATTTTATTTATTTACTATAGGCCACTTTTCCAAGTACTATTGTTGGTACAGTATTCCAAATTTAAGGGACATTACAGAAGTCCTGCATTTATCTGTTGTACTTCTCACCAGTTGCAAATTCATAGCAATGACTTATTCCAGGTGCATATAAGGACAAAGATAGTCTTTTCTTGATAGTTAAGACAGCCAACTGATAGTGTTCTCCCAACAAACATTAATAGGGCAAAAAATACCATATACAGGGTTGGTTCTTTGCAATTTTGAACTATTGTTCCATTAGAGGTCTACTGCAGTGTAAAGAAGCAACTGTCATTCTCCCAAAGATTCAAATTTGTCTTACATTCAGCAGATAGTCCTCACTTATGGACCACTCACTGCTCGCGAGCTGCCTGGGACTTGCAATTTCCTGCCGGCTTCCCCATTGATTTTGGTTTGGAAATTGGCAGGAAGTTGCGAGGAGGTCCTTGCTTAATGACCTGCAATTCTCACTTAATGATGGCAACAGGGACTGCCATTATTGCCATCGCTAAGTGATGCAGTCATGTGACATTGCACTTTATGACTGCATCACTTAGCTACATAAATTCTGGTCCCAATTCCAAAGTTAAGTGAGGACTACCTGTAATTTGCTTCTGTCCTACAAAAGATCAAAGCCAGATTTTTATAGGCCTATTAATTTAGGAAATTCACAATATCATCATGTCTCTTTTAGCTCTTCTTGTAAACAGTTTGAAAATGTAAACAATTTGACATTCTACTAGTTTCACTCCCAAAATCCTGAAAAGCAACTTGAAGGTGATCCATGATTTTTTTTATTTCTAATGTTTTAAAATGCTGAGAACAAGAAGTAAATATCATTGTTCTCATTTGAACTGCCGCAGTCCTGCAGAAACAAAAATCTGCTTGCTCTTGACTTCATCTAAAAAAAGGGTGGGGTGGGGAGAGAACCAGTAGCCAGGCTATCTGCACTTGAAAAGAAGGGAAAAACTGTCAAAATACTTACAGTTTCACTCCTGCATGTTTTTGTCCCGGTTACTGAAAGGGAGTTGCAAAGCGCTCAAGCTAGCATTTTTATTCCATTCCATTCCAGAGTTGGGAGAAGAGATGAGACAAGAGTTCTCTCTAATGGGGAAATGGAGCCACAGTCTCTGAAAACAAACACACAATCCTAGCATTAAGTTAGTTTGAGCCAAAGTGCAACTGCACCAGAAATAAATCAGCTCAGATCTCCAACAATGTTGATTTTGTAGGAATACAGAGATCAGGGCCTTTTTTAAAAAGTTGGCGTAGAATCCTGGTGTGGAACCATCCTCAATCAATGCATTCATCCAGCTTCCTCCATGTTGTTGCAGCTACTTTCTCCAACCTGGTGCCCTTTAGATATTTGGATTCAATGCCCATAATTCCTAGTCAGCATAGTTATCATCTGGAGGTACTAGACTGAGGGAGGCAGAAACTAGTCTTCACTGACTGGCTAAACTCTGGAGCATAGGAAGTTAACAAAATGTTAATGATTCCAAAATTATGAAATCTGCCTTAGTTAAAAGTCAAGTAAGGATTTGTCCTGATCTATTACTGAAATAAGATTCTCGGTGGTAATACTATTTGGATCCCCTGCAGCAGTTGCTGTCTTTGGTATTCGACTCTTTAATGATTCGTTTGTTTTGAAATAGTTCCAAAATGGAAATAACTTCAATTGCAAAACCCATCCCATTTAATATTTAACAGTTTCCTTCCCATTGGAATTAGAGGGTGGGAGTCAATTACATTTATTGCTATCCCCTAGAGAAGCCAGAATAAATTAACGAATTAAGTAACGAATTAAGCAAAATCCCCAGGAATATTATCCTTCAATAAAAAGGGATTAGTTTAGGTATTAACATGTAGCAGTATCTACAATCTTTGCTTGTGGTGCAGATTAGAGCATGTTGTGCGTAACATGATTAGCCCAGATCAAACAGGTTTCATAACTCCTGGAATTATTTAATTAACATAGTATTTCTATTATGCAATCAAATGACTTTTATTTATTTACTATAGTTTTTACTTATGTCAGACTCTCTCAAAAGGTGAAGATTCTCCTTCATTACGGTTCTTAAGCAAAAGCTGATAATCACCTATTGATAACCCTGCCATAGTGAATTTCCTACATCAGCAAGCAATTGGAGTGCAAGTCCCTAGAGGTCTCTTCCAATTCTATAATTTCATTATACTGTATATTTCATAGATGTCTTCCATTATTTGTTAATGAAGAAAGGAGAAAGAATGACAAGGAGAGTTAAATAGACTTGTTCATGCAGAAAAGGTTATGTGCAATTGCTTGTTATTTTTCTTTATTTAGTTTTATTTTATTTTTAAACAATATATTTGGGGTGGCTACATTTTAAAAACCCCATTGTAGGGCTAAGTTGCAAGAAATAGTGCATATTGTTTAAGATACAGCTTTAGATTGCAACTCATATAAATGATTGCATTTTCCCATTGAATATGAGCTCACTGAAAATGTTTAGGCTAAGCTGGTTGTAGAACATTGGTTTAAGGGTTTTATGGTCTATGGATCTGGCAAAAAAAAAATCAAGCTTCAAACAGACTTTGCTTTTGTAGACAGTACAGTTGAGTTGAATCTTCCATCCACTGATCCAAGAGCTACTTGAAGGCTCAAATTTTATTCATTTGGCCTAGATAATCTGAAAAATCCAGAGAGAGATTTACATAATGGATGAAGAGAGAAATGTTCACAGAAGCACTTACCTATTCAAAGAAGTATGAAGAAATGTTAGGCAAAGTACCTTATTATAACATTCACTTATAAGGTACCTTTTAACTTAAGAGCTCTTTGTTAATCGTTTCCCACTGTTTCCATCTCCATCCCTGCTGGGCTGATCTGCAACTGTCTTCTCTCTCTTTTTATAAAACTCCTTTCCTGTCTGCTTGCAAAATGTTATCTTAACTAGGATTAATAAAGATATACTGGAGGGAGTCTTATCTTTTATGAGAATTATGATTATAATAAAAAGCTGTAATCTTAGAAGAGAGATGAAGTCAAAAGGAAGCCAAGAAAATAAATTACAGTGTCAGAAATAGGAGAAAAAAAACCTGTCCTCTATATTATGCCTTTAATCAAAACCCTATCAAAAGTAACTGCCATAAAATCTGTGGATAATTCACATGTGACTCAAAATGTTATAATTAATCTATAAAGTTAAGTCAGAGGAAAATATATACATTTTAATATGTTTAATTGATTGGCTTTAAGAAATAAGTGTTCTTTATTGTTGCTTAGAAATAAAAACAGTACTCAGTGTCAAATGCACCCATCTGAACCAATGTGTTGGTATACACAATTTGCACTGGGTTCCATAAATGTGGTATCTAGAAAAAAATAGTAGATAGCACACAGGCATTTTTGTGGCTGTCCCAAAATTGTATTCTTCATATATAATATTATTCTCACATATATGGCATAATATTATTCTCACATGCATGAGAATAATAATGATCACTCGACTATATTTTTTTGCCAGTTTTGAGCACGCCCACTTACACACCTGCATTCAATCGTAAAATGATGGAAAGGAAGTTTTAAAGCACTGCATGAAATTTCAAATGAGAATATGCATCTGTTGTAGGGGTTATATATAAGTATTAAGTTTCAATCCACTTAGCTGTCCATGATGACATCTTACTCAAAACAGACACTTTTCATACTGCGGATCTTTTCCACTGTCCAGTTGTTTGGGATATCCTTCAAGTATTTCCTTGCTTCCTAGCTAATGCCTTTGATTCACAATAGCTTCACACCCCCTTGTTAGAGTTTCCATTATGATGATCTGGTCTCCTCATAGACCAGTTGTTACTGATCTTCTTGGATGCAGCAACAGGATTTGAGTGCTTTGGGGTAGGAACTGAGGTATTCCAAGATACTTAGGCTATTCAAAGGCCAATCTTTTGTGTTCGTGTAAGATATTGCATCTTCTTCTAAAAAAAAGGCTGAATACGTATCAGCTACCAAATAGATGAGTGTAACTATACACTGTCAACTCATATAAAAACAATGATGTCACAAGTTGAAAGCCAGATGATCACAGCAGCAGTTGTTTAGATCTTCCTGCTATAATTAGATGGCCATTTCCAGTAGGCTACCTGCTCACAAAATAAATATCCCATGAACCTTTTCACAAGCACCTCATTTAAAAAGACATCAAGTTCCCCAAACTGTAAACTTGTTATCTTAAAAGCAAAGTAAGATTATAAGTGCTTTCAATTTAAACTTTTACAACATAATTGCACTGCCTCTTTAATGGAAATTTATGGAGGTGTAAGGGACATGCTGAGTCTCAGTACACACAGTATATTAACTCTGTGGGTGCCTCTGAACCAGCTAACGTTATGGTAGCAGAAGAGATTTAACTTCATATGTAACTCATTGGCCAAGCAAAGTACAATAGTATAAAAGAAAAATAAACAATACCATTACAAAAGCAAACACTTTAAAACAAAATAACCAGTAAAAACATTGACCAATTAAAGTCAAATGCACCACAAACAAAATTCCTTCCCTTCCCTTCCCTTCCCTTCCCTTCCCTTCCCTTCCCTTCCCTTCCCTTCCCTTCCCTTTTTTAGTTTCTCAAGGTCAACCCACATACTACTTTTTCTAAAGGGTGTTTTAAGATGAGGAAGTCAGTGACAGCAGCCACAAAACTTGGCACAGCTTTAAAGGTATTTAATTCATTCAACCATATGTGTAAAACATTCCCAGTTACTGTACTGTGCACACTGGTAACAGATGGAATGAACAGTTCATGTTAAAATATATTCCCAGCCTTCAGGCAGTAACTCCACAGGGAAATTCTGTTGAAGGGCTGAAGTTCTAGAGCTGTCAGAGTTTGGATTCACTTGATTCTGGATGGAAATCTGACTCTGTTAAAGGCGTTTTAAATGATGATGCATATAATGCACCCATATTGGCAAAGCAACATAATTATATTAGAATATATTCATTCTCGATCCAAGTTAGCAGCTTATATTCAAAGTTGAACTTGAACCAGCAAAAACAAAAACAAAAAAAGATGAAAAGAACCCAAATAGACAGATGGTGAGGGTGGGAACATCCAGTCTCTGTTTTGCATATATATATCCTAAAAATATTTCCTCATATCCTTCATATGCACTTCTGCATGAAGGGGAGGGAAGAAACAAGAGGACAGAAACTTTAAATTAACAGAAATGCACAAAAATGGGAAGGGTTTTTTTGTTTTTGGTAATTTAAAAATACAGCAACCCTTGTCACTATAAGTGGACAGGGGTTCTGCTATATTATTATTTTGCTGATAAAACTATTATTGAATTATAATATATAAGCACCTAATATTTGCATGAGTACTTGCATCATCATTCAATTATTCTAACCTTACAGCAGTGTGAGGGTGGAGCTAACTCTGGCAAAATGTTCTCTGATAGAGCCCTCTTAAATCAGAGGCCTTGCTAGGAGGCTCATTTTCTACCTTGCTATAGCCACTGGCACCATTTTCGGATTGTGAATATTTGTGCCATGTAATGTTCCATATTCTCCAAACCACTGTGTCATTGGCTAGAGTATCTGTAACTGCATGTGATTCTCCCCGGCAGTTGACAACCTCCTCAGGTTTCAGTGGCTTTTGTTTCTGCTGTGGCAAGTAGCACAGGATTGTGAATCCCTGTCTTGTAATTATTTATCACTCCAGGGCATTATGGGAAGTTCAAATAGGCTATAAACTCTCAGCCAGTGGCATACAGAGTCTCCCAGCTTTCGTCAGAATCACAGAGGTGGCATCTCAGCATCATGCTGCAAGCCCAACCCCATTTGGTCATGTGTGTATCATCCCAATGCACATAGAAGAGTGTCAAGGCTTGCATCACAACACTGCAATACTGCTTGCATCATTCTAACCCCCCTTGCAGATGCTGCTGCTCTAAGTGCTTTAAACTTGAGATTTCTTCCTCCCACCCTTCCAAATTACAGATATTTGGTGCAAACTCAGTGGGTTTTGTACATTTACATACATTATGGCCATCTCTAGCATGGGAACCTCATTGACCTCAACCCATCTACTATCTCTTTCTTAATTTTCCTTTTCTTCTCCATCTGTAAGTCTTGAAAAGTCAGGAACT